TTATGGTAATTAATCTTTTGTCTTGATTCTCTATTTTTAGCTGATTCAATTTTCTGATTTTTGTTTAATTTTGGGAGTTTTCTTCATACGCCGATTTTTTTTTTTTCCTGATTTTATTGAGTTTGATTTCAGATGTCTGCGGACAAATCCGACAAGGATTCAGAGCCGTTCGTCGAGGTTGATCCTAGCGGCCGGTACGGACGCTACCGTGAACTGCTCGGCTCAGGTGCCGTGAAAAAAGTGTACAGAGCATTTGATCAAGAAGAAGGGATAGAGGTTGCATGGAATCAGGTGAATCTTCGGAGGCTCTCCGACGACCCGGCTATGGTCGACCGACTCTACTCGGAGGTCCGACTGCTTAGAACCCTAGCCAATAAGCACATCATCTCGCTTTTTCACGTCTGGCTCGACAAGCAGCATCATACCCTGAATTTCATCACTGAGGTTTGTACCTCTGGCAATTTGAGGGCATACCGGAGGAAACACCGGCAGGTATCCATGAAAGCGCTGAAGAAGTGGTCGAAGCAGATCTTGAAAGGGTTGAATTATTTGCATACCCACGAGCCCTGTATCATACATAGGGATCTTAATTGCAGTAATGTTTTCGTCAATGGGAACATCGGTCAGGTAGAATTTCAAATTCTTTCCTGTTTTTCGGGATAAAATTCTTGTTTGGTCTCCGGGGAAAATTCTAATTGGCGGTTTTCCTTTTTGGAACAGGTCAAAATTGGCGACCTGGGTCTGGCGGCAATCGTAGGGAAGAACCATTCGGCGCATTCAATTCTCGGGACACCGGAATTCATGGCGCCGGAGCTCTACGATGAGGATTACACGGAGCAGGTGGATATTTACTCTTTCGGGATGTGCGTGCTGGAGATGGTGACTCTGGAGATTCCATACAGCGAGTGCGACAGCGTGGCAAAGATTTACAAGAAGGTGTCAAGTGGGGTGAAGCCGGCGGCGCTGGGGAAGGTAAAGGACCCAGAAGTGAAGGCGTTCATCGAGAAGTGTCTCGGCCAGCCAAGGGCCAGACCGTCGGCGGCGGAGCTCCTCAAAGACCCGTTCTTCAAGGAAGTTGACGATGACGAAAATGATAGCTAGGATAGTGTATTAACTTTCTTCACGGTGAAGAATTACGTGCGTTGCTTTTTATTTTTTTTACTTAGAAAATTGTTTCTGGGCGTTTTTATTTGTTTTTTTATACGTCTGTGGTGTCGATTAGGTTGGGAATTGTTTTTTTTTTTTTTTTAATTCTAGAGATTCATATTTCTAGGTCGACTGTATTTAAAATGTACTTTAATTTAAATAATATTTTTTATTTTTGTTATTTATAAATAAAAAATATTGTATATTTTAAATTATGTAAAATTATTTAACATAAATCGCCTAACGAGTTAACCCTTGATAATAGAAGTAATCTTTCTCATTTAGCGGGTTTTAGTATTTTGTACAGTCAAATTCAAATCTTTAAAGCAGTGGGAAGGGATGAGAGTAGGGTAGAATTATTAATTGTTGTATAGTTAAATATTTTTTTTTTTTTTGAGTAATGTGTGGCTCGAACTCGCCCATCGGTAGAGGGAGGGCGCACCACAATATGATTGGAAATTATTTGACTCGAAAAGTTAAGTGCATTATTATATAGTTAATTATTTAATATATAAAAAATAATTTTTATATGATTACAATATCATGTAGTCTATATTACAAGATCAAAAAAAAAAATTTATACATGCTTTTGTTATTATTTTTATAGTTCAAATTTGAATTTTCAAACTTAAAAATTGAAATTATTTGGTAACTTTATAAGTTAATGAAGAATTTAATTTTGAATTTGGAGTATAACCAAAAGAAATGATAAGCACTAAGAAAAATTAGTTGACATTGTTGAATTGAGGCTCTTGCAACCAACGATCAAGGATGGAGATGATGATCTCACAAGTAAAACTAACCTTTCAAATTCGTAAATATTCATGAAGAAGTCTATATCTATGGTGTATATTGTGTCACCCAAAAACTCGGATAAAATAATTGAAAGAAGTAATGGATAAGAAAGAAAAGAAAGAGGCGAGCCATTGGGGTGTGTTAGCTAAAACGTTCCAATCATATGGGAACTTAATAATGGTTTCTTGCCTTCCCCACATCAAACTGTCTGCTATGGCCCTTTCCATTTCCAAACCAAACTCAGCTTACAGCATTTAATTAAGATCATAATTTGTGAGCATGCGTGTAGCATTGCAATAACTTTTTCTTCTGCGTGCGTCTGATTAAAAAACATGTTTATTTTACGTCGAGTCAACAATTTGAGCTTGACAAGGTTACGCGAACCTTAACTCGGACAGATTAGACACGTATTGTAATGATTAATATTAAAATTATGATACGACAAAGTCATGCCAGAATTTTTATTTCATATCAGAATAGGATATCCGTACAAAAATGTTACCTCTCATCTGAGTTTATATTTTAAAGGGTTCTCACGTAGATTATTTTTTTATATTATTTTTTGATAAAATTTTTATATGTTATTAAGTAAGTAGATATTTTTAATATCATAAGTTTTATATAAATAAAAAAAATTAATTATTTAAGTAACATATCAAATTGTATTAAAATATGATATAAAAAAATTGTCTCAATATCATTTGTTTATTTTAAACAAATTAAACATATTTAAAAAGGACTCTTAATTCCAAAACAATCCTTTCTTGGTTTCTTGTTGTCAATGATATGATTAAAATTTAACATGTCAAATTACACATAACTTTTAATTAAAATTTTGTTTTCTAAAGCAATTAGAACCGGATTCCTCGTGCAAAATGGTTTAAGATATTAATATTTTTATTATCCTAATACTTTGGATTAATACCCGAATAATGACCCTGATTTAAAAAAATCAACAAATAAATCGTCGGTATGGTGGGGGGTGGTGTAGGGCCGTCGTCTGCATTTGAAAATTCTTAGCCGCCAATTAATCCATTAACTAATTATCTACACAATTGAGAATTAATGACGAATTATATAACAGAAAAAATTTAACCTTCTAAAAGAATGCGTAGTCAACTCTATAAAAATAAACTCAAGTTTAGACAATCAACTAAAGCTCAATTTTATTGTAGCCGTCATATGGACTAATATAGCTAAAAGAAAGTTAAGGTTATACTATTCATGTTAATTACGTAGGAAGAATGGTAACAATATTGACATATCCAACAAGAAATATATTCTGCTGCCTTTTGCCTTGAACTTGCTTCGTTATTCTGACAATTATCATTAGATGTCTGTTGCTGTTATGTTTCAAGCATTTGATCCTGTTCTTAGTAAGATAAACAAAATAAACACAACTAAGGAACTGCCAGATTTTTTTTTGTTAAGTTCTATGAAGAACTTAGTACATTGTATTATCCAAAAATACTTTATTTAATCACTGTTTTGTTCCTTTCATGAAAACAAACAAATCAACATGTTCTTCATCAAGTTGTCTCTTTAATATTCCTTCTAGATTACATTATCTCATAGAAAATAACGGGTAGCAGGATGTTTATGTTCATTAACATTGGAAACTCTGAACAAATTGCTCTTTCCTGGTATACCAGAACAAATGAGGAGTACATATTAGTTAGGTTTCTGATGATACAACTATAAGGACACAACTCTAACATGCATTGGGGAGATTTCTAAATGTTCTTGAAGGGACTAACATGCTTTGCAGTTGTTTTTCCTCTCTGACCACATTCTGACAGGGAGGTGAGTTTCTGGGATCTGAATCTTTTCTTAAAGTTCATTAGATCTGTTGATCCTCATAACAGGTTAGGAAATCACCCACGAGTTCCCAAGGAACACATGTTTGCGTAAGGGTGTGAAATGCAATCTCCAGGGTACCTCCATTGAAGAAATAATGTTGGAAAATCTGAATCTGAGTGGAGTAATTAATGCAAACTCCCTTTGCAAGCTTCATAATCTTCGAGTTCTTAGCTTACCAAGAAGTCTCATTCATGGAACCATTCCTAACTCAATCTGGCATTGTTCAAAGCTGAGGTATTTGAATTTTAGCAGCAATAATCTGAGTGGGAGAATACCTTTGGCCTTGATCAAGTTGGAAAATCTGCAAAGCTTGGACATCTCCAACAACCATTTCAAGCACCTTTATAGGCATTCCTTGGAACTGATTGCATTACAGAGAAGGAATACTTTACACTCAAAAGAGCATGTGGATTCAGAATTTAAATCTACAGCAGCAGCGGCTCCTAGCAAGGATAACTCCGGAGGGATTCCAAACTAGTTAACCATCACAGTTTTAGTTCTTGGCATTGTCTTGTTCTGCTTATTCATATATGTTCTGAGCCCAAAGGCAGTTAAATTGTCGAGACAGAAGGAGATTCTGAAGATCAGCCAAGATTCTCCTCAGAAAATGCCTCCAACTAAGGATGTAGAGGAAGTGAAGGCAGAGGAAAGTCAATCAGACCTTGTGTTCTTTGTTGAAAATGATCAGAGGTTCAGACCGGAAGACCTCCTTGAGGCGGCCGCTGATTTACTAGGTCAGAGCATTTGCAGCAGCCTTTACAAGGTAATACTTAGGGACAATGCTGCTTTTGCTGTCAAAAGAGTGAAGAAATTGCACGTATCAATAGAAGAGTTTAGTAGGACGATGAGAAAGATAGGGAACATTAAGCATCCCGACATTCTACCCCTTGTTGCATACAAGTCTACTGATGGGGAGAAGCTTCTGATCTACCAGTATCAAAGCAATGGAAGCCTCCTAAACTTGCTAGAAAGTAAGTTACATATATAATTGATTAAGTCATTTCAAGCAAAAATTCTTGTTAGGATATGTCTGCATGAGTATGGCACACACTCACTCATGTTGTAAACACCAACATAGGAACAAGAAAAAATTAAAAATTAGAAATTCTTTCAAACTATTTTTGTCATGGTGCCTTAATTCGCAATTGCTTGATCTATCCTTTCTCTTAATAGGTTTCTAGTAGGGAAAAAGTTTCAGGCTATCTAATATGAGATTCTTATGGCTTAAATGAGGTCTAATTCCATGAAGTCTCTTATCTGTAAGCAAACTGTCGTTGTTAATGGTCAGGTTATAGTGAGGGTAAGAGAGGCTTCCCTTGGAAACTTAGGCTGTCCATAGCAAGCGGCTTGACTTTCATGCATCAGAGGTTGGATGGAGAGGAGGGCATTCCACATGGAAATATCAAGCTCTCAAATATACTGCTGGACGACAACATGGAACCATTAATTAGTGAATATGGGATTTCAAGATTTCTAGACCCCAAGAAAAAAACCCCCTTTGCCAGCCATAGTTATACTGCCCCAGAGAAAAGCTTGAAGAAAAAGGAGACGTTTACAGCATTGGTATTATCCTTCTGGTGTTACTGACCGGCAAAAATGTAGAGAAAACTAGGATTGACCTTCCTAAGTGGGTGACCTCCATGGTGAGGGAGGAATGGACTGCAGAGGTTTTTGACAAGGAAGTTAACATAAACAGAGGCAATAAAATGGGCAGTTCCTCTTCTAGACATCTCCCTTAAATGCGAATCACATTCCCCTCAAGATCGACCAACCATGGCAGAGGTAGTGGAGAAGATAGAGGAGGTTCCAAATACCCATGAAGAACCTTCTATTTTTTCACTGTCTTCCTGGGAATCAAAATTCTCCACTAAAAGCAGCTGCTCTATACTCACCTCACCAAGATATAGTATATGAATGTGATATGTAAACAAAAATATCATAATTAGTGGAAGGAAAAACAAAACTTCTGATTCTCACATCGTTGAATTTAGCATTCGAGAAAAGTATTAGCTAATACTTAAAGAAATTAACTTCACTGTTGATTATTCGAAAAGCAAGCCCCTTGTTTCCAACCCATTTTCCTTCACTTTCCCTCAATTTCTCGGCAACCGAAAAAAAGGAAAAAACTCGGATCGAAAACAAAATCTCAAAACCACCCTGACCTTAATCTCAGAGAGAAGAACAGGAGACTTGAGAAACGAAGACGGACTGAGCCCCTGTGCGTATTGGTGAAGGTTTGTCAGGGAAGAGTGTTGACTTCTTACAACGGATCTGCTCTTTTGTCATTCAACACCCTGTCACTCTAACATTTTAGGAACACAATATCATTAAACTCATATATTAAATCACATATGAAAATATATAATCATTCATGAGAATTAAAATTTCTTAATTGTCTGCTCATTTATCTCATGACTATAAATTTTCGATAGTGAAATTTAAAGAAAACTTTGCAATTGAGTAGGTGTTATGAGTTTTAGGAAATTTAACCTAAAAATATTACAATATATATAATAGGGTATATAAAACTCATGTACCCTTAATTATAGTTACAAAATCCTGAAACTTAATTTTCAAGATATGTTTCATATATAATATATATTATATGCATGATAATATTTATAAAGTGATTTCAAACCAAAGCATGAAAAACATGTCATATCCAAATTTATTTGCCAATAACCATACATTTTTAACTTTCAATTAACACATTTTTTTGACTTGCACTTGACATGCATTTTAATTTGGACAAAACAAATATACATTTTATTATGTAAACAATTATTTTGATTAATAAAATTAAGTTATTAATACATATTTTTTGTGCACATATAATCATTAAAAATAAGATTATATTATATATTAATAGGTATTCCTCACATAAAATTTAATATACATTAATTGTATATAAATAATAATATACAACTAAAAGAAATCTCAATTGAAAAGAAGTGGGTTTATGTAAAAGAATTAAAACTCTATCTACACCATTGCTTAATTGCTTAAGTGTAAACTTTTAAAATCAGTTGTCAACACTTCACCATGAAAATCAAGTCCGTGTTAGATTTGCACA